AAAACCCTATCGATCTATCTGGGTCTGAATTCAAAGTTCCAAGATAAGTAGACTACCCCTCCCTGGTTAGGCCCTGCTTTCTAAGCTCCTTGGTCGGATATCCCTGTGTTATTATGCGGAATGTCAAGATAAAATAGTTACAGGTAGCTTATTCTAGAGTTTGCACCGTTTTCTATGAGTAGAGTGAGCAACCAGCGAAGCTGGAATCCTTATGATAAATCAAGTATTCTTCACTATTGTAACGACCCATTCCTAACGTCCAGGTAGCATCTGGGCACGAGAATGCTCCCATTCTTCAACAAGCGTGGATAAGATGCTACTCAAGTCTGCTTCGGTAGCCGTCCAGTTATCGAAGCAATCGCTAACAATACTAGCCTTCCGCTGACCTTAACAGCTGAGGTCGCACCTTAGTAGGTCAGGTGAATACGTCGTATGAAACCACGGGTTTAGTAATTTTTCGTCCGAAAACAAAGGCGCAATTCGATGTGCGTATGGGTATGCATGTACACAAACGGTAATGATTTTTCTTAAATGTGTACCGCCATCCATTTGTCGGAATGATCATCAAGTGATTGCTGATACACTTTAGCAGTGGTGGTCTCTTTTTTTTGGAGCGTCGTCGCCATAACCTAAAGCCTAAAAATTTTCACCACACCAAACCACCAATTCGGTTTCGAAATTCTGCCACTGTGAGGATTTGAGGTAATACACACATCTCCCTTATTCAATTCTCAGCACAATTCATCTCATCAGAAATGCGGCTTTCGCGAGAAGGAACAACAATTGTTCTGTCTCTGAGTTTCACCATTCAACGCTTGGTTTCATCTACCCGGTCTTCATGTGCACAGTGAATACTGAGTGAGTGAGAGTGAGCACCACTCCAGTCTATCCTGTGTTCGTTCTTCCTTCATTGAACATTAACACCGAATTTTCGGCATTGCTCTTGAACAACGCTGCTTTCTAAATGTTGGAAAACATGTCATAAACTTGAGCAATAGATTTTTCTTCTAAAACGCCTCATGAAAATTCGCCTCTAACTCGGCTGCTCATGCCGCTTTTTATTTTTTTTCTTTTTTCTTATTTTATTTTCTTTAGCAGCTGGAAAGACGAAATTGGTGACGTAACTAAATGTATTAGATTTGAAGTGTAGCAATGTCGATGAACCCGTCTTTTATTTCTCGCACCACGCCTTTAAGTGATGCGCACTTTTTATGAAATGTCCTGATATTTCGTGGAAGATGCTAGCCAAGCAGATTTCTTTAAGAATCCCGCTTGACATCGATGCTCACCTCAGATCCCGTGTCAGTTACAGTACTCGAATCGTCATAAGCAAATGTTGTGGATGTATCCGAATATTCGTTGTCGGAGGCTGTCGCAAACGTAGTCGAAGTTTCTGTTGAGGTAGTCGACGCAACTGTTGTAGAAGTTTCTATTGAGGTGGTCGACGTAGCTGTTGTTGGCGTTTCTGTTGAGGTAGTCGACGTACCTGTTGTATAAGTTTCTGTTGTGGTAATCGTCTCAACTGTTGAAACCTCTGTTGTGGTAGACTCTTTTGTAGAAGCGGTAGTGGATGAGGTCGCCCTGAATGGCGAAGCATGCTTGTATCATACAGTTTTGTTTGAAGTGTGGAAATGCATTAGAATTTACTTAAAATTTTCAAACTCCTCTGTCGCTTTGTTTGGCATTTCGCCTGAAAAGACTGCTTCAAGAAAAGGAAGAGCTCGCTCAGTTTTCTAGAACATAGAATTAACCTGCACGCATGTATTTCAAGACAATTTCGGCTGCCTTTATTGAATAGAATGGTGAATTGGATCGCTGAGTGTTTAGCATTGACTGAAATAAATGGTGGACATATCCTAGTAAAGTGTTAGCTTTTAGAAAATTTCACATCTTCTTTTCTTCTACTAACAATTCTCATCAATTTGTAAATCACAAGTCATGTCTCTTGCACAGCATCTTGCGCCTCTTCGATTACATTAGGGAACTTCCCCCCTCCCCCCTTAAATTCTTTCATTTCATCTTTTCCATTGAAAAAAAAAACACATTTGATTGAATTTTCAAAACAGTGCTATTTCTAAGATACAACCTCAGTCAAACATGAGTTAGACCGTTCAGTTTAGAAAATGAGTTAAAACCCATAGAACAGAGCCTTTTAATATATTCAACCTATGACGACTTTTTGTAAATCCAGGATAATTCAGGATAAGTCATGCATGATGTCATCGGGTCAGACCACCCATCTTCCTAGATGAGAAAGCAGTGCTTATAAAAGTCACTGCCACGAATTCGCGTTATTCTCAAAGATTGCCTACAAGAAAAACAATTGCGTGGTGGTGAGCATGAAACCGGATCATTCATGGTAATAGTACCTTTTGATGAAGTTTGCGTGGACTTCATGCAATTGTAAGACGGTTTATGGGCTAACCCTTACTTATTGAGAATTGATAGATATCGTTTTCACTATATGGGACAAGCATGTTTGAGTTCAAGCACGTATCTGGTGAAACACCGACATAAGGCCTAGTAGGAAACAGCTCTCAAAGTAACGATCGCATGAGCAGTTCAACGACAAATTGCACTTCTAAAAGTAGTTGCATTTATGAAAGAGGGCAAGATGTCGGAGAGAATTGCGCGTTGACCTCCTGAGAATTTTCCATAGGGCTGCAATGGGCAACTGTTTACTACTATCTCGCTTGTTGTATGGAGACAGTTACTAATGGACTGCTTTATGACAGGCGTAATTTTAATCTCTTCCTACAGGCTATAGTGCGATTACTGCGTCTGCTGGGTGTTCGACAGGGAATTCATAGTTTCTGCTCTCTAGGGCAGAGCGTCCAACTTTTCAATGCCACTTCCAAAATCATCATGCGTCACATGGAATGGGAAGAGTGGGACTGATTGGGGGCGTAACGGCCGCTACTTACATCATCTCGCTTCGCACACGACATCGTGCTTATAACAACGGACATCGAGCAGGCGGAACGAGTGCTGGACGCCTGCTTGATGTCCGTTGTCTTGACATTGTTTGTGAGAGCACGCTTGTCTGTGAGAGTGGCTTACGATTGAACCTACGAAAACAATGTCTATCCGGAAGAATAGGTACTTAACGCGCTATCTATACTGGACGGAACAAATAATTTGAATGCCCAGGCTGTACGTATCTAGGTCGAGAAATCAATTCTATGAGCTAACTTACTCCAGAGCTGACCAAAATGAAAAGCGTGGTCTGAAGACTTCTTGGAACGTTTAGGGAGTAGTGAAGAAACAAGAGACGGCCGGTTTTGCTCTCTTATCCTTTGACCGTCTATCCCTTGGAAACTCTATGAAAACAGGATGAGCATGCATCAGCGTAGTTCAGCGTGCTAGGAAAGGACGCCCGAAGGCTCGATGCACGCAGATGTGGAGACGTATCTGGAGTTCTAAGCTCCGTCGACTGGCAAACTTACCTCTCTTCTGCTTTAAAGGCAGGAATGACTGTCCCCTTCCCTGCACTGTCAACTGAAGCCTCGTCACTCTGTTCGAAGCCTTATCACTTCATTCTGATTTAGGTTTAGTGTTTTTTAAATTTGTGTGAATAAGGCAATCAGACTGGAGAAGGTACTACTTATTGAGCTGATTGTAAAATAGTAAAAGCACTGACTGTGCAAAGCCAGTAGTGTGAATTATTTACGACTACAAGTCCTCCGAATGAATACCTTTCTCGTATTGAGAAGGAGCGAAAAAAACACTGCAACGATGAAAAAACAAGTTTTCTAGAAGGGAAGACTGCATGTCTTTCCCAAAGAATAGAAGACACAAGCGATGGAGTTGAGACATGTAGCATGTATACATACATAAAGAAATAGCTTGCTAAGCTTTCAATTACTTGAAGGACAACATTGTTATTTGAATCGGGACCCATTTTAAATGTAGTATCCTTGAAGTAGGAATTCTACTGTAATGAACTACCAATGAACCGTGATAAATCCTGCAGTGGGTTCGGTTATGTAACCATTTCGAATTTGAAGTAGTTGTTTACTAAGTTGTTTAGTTACAGTGGTAAAAAAACCAAGTGAAAGTAAACATTACTTCGAAAGTCTCCGGCTGCGTTGCACAGATTGCTGTTTGATTGCAAAAGCACGTGGCTTCCATTTTTCCCTCGTGTTGTAATAATTCTTAAATGCACAGTGACTCCATTTCAACTGAACGGTTTGGTCTATCAATTCAGTAATTCATTACTATAAATTTTGGAATTAATGACATGAAAATAAATGACATGAATGAACAAGAAGGCTTGTCGTTGTCCATCTGATAGACTCTAAATTTTGATAATTCCGTGAAAATTTGATACTTTATCAATATTTTCGTTCTCAGTCGAAATTCTAACTCCAAAAAGGCTGCTCACGATACTTGTGCTGTGGGTGGGAACGATGCCATACCGGTGCCAAGGGAATCGCTCGCTATTGATATGCTAATTTCGAAATGAAAATTTTGACCCCAGAGGCGGATTTCATTCTGGCCGTCCTGTTGAGTTAAACTAAGAATGACTGAACCATCTTATACAACAAAATTCTAGTCAAGCGAAAAGAAAACTGAAAATAGGAATGCTCATACGCTGCTGTAGAGGAACATCTTCGCCAGCCAGAAAGAGGGGCGTCTTCGAGGTCGAATACTCCCACAAAGTAGGGGAATTATGGACAAAACTTCGGCCTCGGATGGGACTCGAACCCACACTTGTGCTAATCTGCACCGTGCTCTTATCTTTTGAACTACCGAGACTCCGCTTGTTATCGCCTCGTAGTGTAGGGGACGAGAACACGGTTCCCGTATAACACACAAGTATGGGTTTGAGTCCCATCCGAGGCCGAAGTTTTGTCCATAACTCCCCAACCTTGTGAGACTTTCGAATAGCGTACTGTGGCGAAGTAGCAGCAGTTAACAAAACGTCAAGCCAAACACTCTCCATTTTCGGACTTGTCATACCAAATCTGAGCGGTTTTCTCGCTTATGGCACTGTCTCCATAAAAGCGTCTCGAACAGCTCCTAGCATCACAACCTTGAGGGATAGCAGGAAGAAGGTGGTCCCAAAAGCGGTCACTTCTCTCAAGTTGATGTTTCATTTTAATGATTGGAAAATTTATATAAATCAAAGTGGTCAAAATACAAAACAAATTTCAGTCGAAAATATATCTTTTTAGCATAAAACATGATGGCACAATTTTGGAAGACTTGCTAAATATCAGGGTAAAGAAAAACGGCGGGAACTAAGCTGCCAACTGATATGTCGTCGCTTTAGATCGCAATATGGTTAACTTAAGAAAACAAGTCCTTACCCTTTTCGTCTTTTGGGTACCGAATTTCAAATTTTTCATAGTCCCACAGTTCGCAGCCTAGTGGATTCTTAGATTCTGGAGTTCTTCGACTCTGTTGAAATGAAAATTAGATCAACTCGAATCCGCGAGTGCTGACATTTTTCTTTTTGAATGAGCCCTTCCAGGTCAGGTGGTAAATTCCTAAAGTGCACGCTACTAAGTAGTTCTTTCGAATGTCCTTCACAGTTTTGCTTGTAAGATTGGACCACTTTATTGGATCCGCTGTAGGAAAATTTTTTTCAAATTAAGACAATCTAGCATATGCAAAAGTAGAACCATCAGGTCATCAAGCAGAAGCAGCGTTTGTGGTGTGCTCTGAAGTGAGGAGTCACGAAATAATATGTTTGCGGCTCGGCTGTGATAGTATTCTCCTTGGAAACGATATGACGGCATCCATAATGCTTTGAAAGTCGTACTTGGCTTATTGTAAACACGGTTTCATGTCAATATGTTGTGATGGGCGATTATTATACGACCCTCGGTTTTCGTAATATTGCTAAGCAACTCCATTTAAAAGGTGATGCATTATTTCATAGATTCAACAAACGTATCAAACATTCTCCACATCGTTGCTGAATTTCAGTGTTTCTCTTATGAAGTGCTCACTTTTGATAACAAAAGAAACAAGTATCATAATGAAATGAAGGGTCATACTACAGATCTGAGACCTAGCCGAGTCCTGTTGAGGGATGCTGAGGAATTCAGCTCCTGATTAAGTAGCCCTGATGATGTTGTAGATGGTAGAGTTCAGCAACGATATGAAGGGTGTGAGAGAGGGATTAGTAGTGATGTAAACATGAGCCCAAAGTAACGTTACAGGACGAGAAACTAATGTTGCCGGGTAGTAGTGGGGCATGGAACACCCTGAAATTAAATTGTCAGAAAATAAAGCGAAGAAAAAGACGGAGAGCAGTTGTAGGCTACTTTACGAGCAACAAACGAGTTTATAAGAATACAAGTAAGGCAATGACTAGAAACCGTGGCGTCGATATACCATCTTAAAAAGTCGAAATTCCAGCCAAAAATGGACATAAATGGTCAAGTAGACCAATGGGCAAGAGAGATCGTGCAGGCTATTCAACAGTGTTAACTGGACAAAAGAATGAAAAACTGTTGGATACTGGCTCCGATCTAGCTTATCGGATGGAACGCCCCGCAGGTGGTCAAAAAATAAGAAAACATAATTGCTTCTTACACGGAAGCCGTAAAAAAATAGAGAAAAAGCAGTTGTTCCATTCAAAATGGTAAATATCACAGATGCAAAGCACAGTTCTCCGGGAGGTGC